TCTCATCATCTCCTCCGTGCTATCGGGAGGAATTACATGGACGCTGTGTCATTGATGGTGAATGCTTTCCGCCTATCTGCCGAGCCGTTTCAGAAGCGCTTGTGCGAAACCGCGGCTCTGCGCTCGATCAAATGAAAGCGCTCGTGGGGTTTTGCTGTAGCCTGATGCTCCTAAGCTTTGCTTGCAAGCAATAAGCAGGAAGCAGTGACCGTAATCTAATACGAAAATGGCTCTCTTCCAGGTCAGAGCGGAGCAGGAAACAACTGGGCAAAGGGCCATTATACGGAAGGTGCTGAATTAGTTGATTCTGTGTTAGATGTTGTAAGAAAGGAGGCAGAAAGCTGTGATTGTCTCCAGGGCTTTCAGCTTACTCACTCTCTCGGTGGTGGGACAGGCTCTGGCATGGGTACCCTGCTCATCAGCAAAATTCGGGAAGAGTACCCAGACCGAATTATGAATACTTTCAGTGTTGTACCCTCCCCTAAAGTGTCAGATACTGTCGTAGAGCCCTACAATGCCACACTCTCGGTGCACCAGCTTGTGGAGAACACAGATGAAACATACTGTATTGATAACGAAGCCCTCTATGACATATGCTTCAGAACACTGAAGTTAACTACTCCGACGTACGGTGATCTGAACCATTTAGTGTCAGCAACCATGAGCGGTGTCACCACCTGCCTGCGGTTCCCAGGCCAGCTTAACGCTGACCTACGGAAGCTGGCAGTGAACATGGTTCCCTTCCCTCGTTTGCACTTCTTCATGCCTGGTTTTGCCCCACTGACGAGCCGTGGGAGCCAGCAGTACCGTGCTCTAACTGTGCCAGAGCTAACGCAGCAGATGTTTGATGCGAAGAACATGATGGCTGCCTGTGACCCACGTCACGGCCGCTATCTGACCGTAGCTGCTGTTTTTAGAGGCCGTATGTCAATGAAGGAGGTCGATGAGCAAATGCTGAATGTTCAGAACAAGAACAGCAGCTATTTTGTTGAATGGATTCCTAATAACGTTAAAACAGCGGTCTGTGACATTCCACCTCGTGGCCTGAAAATGTCTGCCACCTTCATTGGTAACAGCACGGCCATCCAGGAGCTGTTCAAACGCATTTCTGAGCAGTTCACTGCTATGTTCCGCCGAAAGGCTTTCCTGCACTGGTACACAGGCGAGGGCATGGACGAGATGGAGTTCACAGAGGCTGAGAGCAACATGAACGACCTGGTGTCTGAGTACCAGCAGTACCAGGACGCCACGGCTGAGGAGGAGGGCGAGTTTGAGGAGGAGGCTGAGGAGGAGGCAGAGTAAAAGCTATGCAGATGAACACCTGTAAATTTTGTTTAAAGCTGTATGAACTCTCATTCAAAACTTCTCTGTGTTGTGTTCCTCTTTCTGTCTCAAAGTCACTTCAGATGCTGTACAGGCACCATTAAAGCATTTTTCACAGTGCATGAGCTCGTCTCCTTTGTTCCTTTTGGTAAGCTTGTCGGCTGCTGTTTCCAAAAGTAAGCACGTAGGTGTGTCGGAGGTCTGGAAAAGAGCAGTACAGACTCGGCGTGAGCCCTGCCGCCTTGCCCAGGAGAGCCAGGCTGCTCGCCCTGCCTGCTGAGGAGGTGGGTGCCTGGCACTGGGGGCAGTGGGTGCGGGCAGCAGGCCTGCCTGTGCTGCAGGAGCTGCCAAAAGCCTCTGCTCGGGCGGTGTGGTCAAGGGGGACGCGCTTCACACGGAGGGTGAAATTTGGTTCCAGGCTGGCTCTAAATTTAGGTACCGGCCTGTGGACTCCTGTTACAGGCATCGCTGTCCCGACCCCTCCGGAAGCGCAGGGGCAAGGGCTTGGGGGAGCTCGAGCCCCAAGCCAGCCGTGGCCTGGCACCCGAGTGTTGGGGACAGCTGTGACACGCGCCTGCGCTGGGGACACGGGCACTGAACAGCTCCTCTAGGCAGCCTTGCTGGAGTCGCTTGGGTTTTTAAATCACTAGAAGTTGTAAATCAATCGGGTGTTACTGCAGCCTCTCTGCTTTTAAGTGAGCTGAACCCCTGGTACCAAATCACGCTGTTTTATCTCCTGCAAACCCAGTACTGGCAAATTTTTACTCTGGAAACAGTTCAGTGTTACCCAAAGTGACCAAGCTGTCACTGAACAGCTGGACAGGAGACTGCAGGCTGCTTTCCT